TCTAGGATGAATGCAACAATCATAGAAATTAGATTTCGAAACTTGAAAAATTAATACCAACTATTGTAATGCCCTCACTGATATTACCATACAACCTTACACTTAACTTACTAATCAATTCAAAGTCCTTTTATTTTGAAAACTTTGGGATCCCAATAATAAATGTTTTCAAATTTATAAAATAAATAAAACCAATTTGTAAAAATAATACATAGCAGAAGCCTTATGCAATAGCACTTAAAATAAGGAAAACATGCACAAATCCATCAAATTGAGTCAAAATAGGGCAGTGCGCTGCGGCTTGTACCATATGCGTTGCAGCATGTGGCATCAAGACCACAGCTACCCACTCTATGCCATATGCCACGGCATATGGATACATGCACCACAGCACTATAAACTAATTTGTTGTCATATAAACAATCATAGAGACCAGATCTCGAAACTTGAGAGAAACTGATACCACTATTTGTAATGCCCTTATTAACATTACCATACAACCCTAAACTTAACTTACTAATCAATTCAAAGTCCTTTTATTTGAAAATTTTAGGATCCTAAATAAAATATTTTCAAATTCATAAAATAATAAAACCAATTTATAAAATAATACACAGCGGAAGCTTTATGCAATAGCACCTAAAAGTCAACAAGAAAACATGTGCAAATCTATCAAATTGAGTCAAAATAGGGCCGTGCACTGTGGCTTATGCCACATGTGTAGCAGCATGTGGCACAAAGACCACAACTTCTCACTCTTTGCCATGCTTCACGGCATGTAGATACATGTGCCATAGTGCACACACCTGAATCTGCTGTCATATAGCAGTTTCTGGTGTGAATTTGTATGTGTGACATTTTCACATTCGATGTTTGATTGTGGTGGTTCAAGCATCCACACAAAGTTTGTTTCAAAATCTAACCAATGAAACTGGTTTCATTTAAATCCGATATTCCTTTTGAAAATTAAACACCCTTTGACTGTTTTATGACAAAATTTACTACTTGAGCATCTCCAATCGAAACCAAAAGTCATTGGCCACTTCTAAGGCCTTGACCACGTCCAAATAGACAATATATACCTGATAGACCATTCACATTAACAATATAATCCTTATACATATATTTGGCCCATAAATTGCCCATATTATATATTTAGGAAAAATTTACATTTCATTTAATTTATATTCAAGGCCAAATTTCCACATCCACATCGAGTATAACTCATCCATAAATATTCACATTCATCTACTAGCCCACTCTATCCATTTCATTATTCACACGTATACATAGGGCTAAGGAACCAAAATCACCAAACACAATATTCACATCATTATGCATATATACTCAATTTCCTATAGAAACTTATACACAAGTTCATAACTAATAATATACAAATTCATTACACTAATTCTTATAAAAAGACTTTAGTAAGAGTTGTCAACTCAACCTTTGTCTTTTCCTTTTGCACCACTACTATGGACCTAAAAAATATAAAATATAAATAACTATGGGTGAGATAAAAATTTCAATAATCAATATAGTTCATTAAATGTTTATTACCATAGATAACCATCTCAAAGTAACAAAACTAGAGTAATAGCAATTTTATTCTAATATATAAAAATTTCCTCTTTTCAAACATTTCCACACAATTTTCAATAATAGCATGATTATCTAGCCACCGAACCTCCAATGCTCCTTGACATAAAACCATAGGCTCTACTGGATCAATCACATATTAACTGAGCTCACTTTCAGTGGTAAAAACCCTTAACCAAAGGTAATTTAACCCACCTATGGATTATGGTTTTCCTCATCTCACATACCCATGATAGAGGCATCGTTAGCTCCTAATCGCACTCTAACAGGCACTATGGAGTTGCTAGACTGTCTGGATGTCCCATAGTAACAGTCCCATAAAATGTTATACTGGATGACCTATAGTACCAGCCCATAATATGTTACACCGGATGTCCCATAGTGCCAACTCGACCATATGAATTTTTCACTCACATCTCCACACACACACAACCCTATATATCCTGGGTGAACTCCCACCCCTTATGATCATGCTTTTATGCACTTTTCAATACTTTGTTTCCACAATTTCTATTACACACACACACACACACACACACATAAAATAAAGCTTAGAAAATCATCACTTCTATTTCACAAATTCAATTTCATGCTAAAACCATTCATAATTCTCAATTATGCATAAAGCTCATAAAACAACAATTTTACATTTACTCTTACTCAATTATAATAGTTAATAAACATAATAAACTATATGGTTATCTCAACCCTTCTATTTAATAGAAAGGGTTACCTATGTTCTACAACCCTATTCGAGTTTCTTTTCGCTTTTTACATGATACACGCTAGAATCTACATAAAATTGGCAAACCAAAGTCAATCCTACCATTGACAAAAGTGTCGATTACTACAATTAAACATCTAATCGCTATTATTTCCACAATTCATACTCATTCACATGTATCACAATTGATTACCACTCAAAGAAAACTTTAACTCCCTCATAAACACATTTTCTCTCACTACTCTCTCTCTAGATTAGGTTAAATTGTGCCTACAGTTTCAAAGCTTTATCATTTGGACTCAAACCAACCATAAAGTACTAGTTTAGTCACAAAAGACCTTTCTATTAATATTTGGTAAGAAATCATCTTCTTAAAACTTTCAAATTTAATTTCTCACTAATTAAAACTAATAAAAAATAGGATAGAATCGGGGGTTAAGGTAGTACGAGACTTACTCGATAAGTAATAGGTAAAAAACGTCATACTTTCTCCCATAATTGCTTGCCCTGGCAGAGCCTGGTTCCTTCTTCCGCTTAACCTCTCTAACTCTTTCTCTCCTTTTGTTTTTCACAAGTAGATACGAAGTCATTCATTAAAGTTTTGCACTAGGTGCCATGGCTCATCCATTTTCCGCCAAGGCACGTGGCACAGTGAGGGAAATCCTCACTGCACTCACATGCTCTGCCATGGGACCTCATTCTTCCTCTCATATATGTTCATAAACATCCCAAGAAGTCAATATCATACTTTACTACCCAAAACCCTAATCTCACATTAAATCACTAATTCATTATGTAATAAGAAATTAACACAGGATTAGAAATTCGGGATGTTACAATAAGTCATAGTAACTCAAAAGTAACCCCAATCACTTGTTAGTAAGAAAAATCATAAACAAGCGATAAAGTAGCATATGTATTAGTAAAAGTGATATCATATGCATATACAAGAATTCATTCTCATCAATCTCGTTATGCTCATGCAATGCATTCCTGGTTTTACCTAGTGGAGTAATCCCTATACTCGAACCAGGACTTTTAGTCACAAGGAACAATGCCAACCATACCATTTCTTTAAACCAAGTAATACTCTTCGCGTATGGGTGTTCTACTAGGTCTGTCATGGCGAAGTTAAACTCTACGTTCTGGATCATCAAGACTTCCTAGCCTTATACACTTATGGGAACAAGTTAGGGTACTGACTCTCCTCTGTCTCCTATGTCATGTCACCAGGAGCTATTCCTTACCAAAATACTTTAACTAATTAGATAGTCTTATTATGCAACTGCTTTTCTTTGACATCCACTATCCATTCCAGTTCAGTTCGATAGGTGAGATTTTCTTGACATTCTACTTCTTCTGGCTCAATCACATGTGACAAATCCGGTTGATACTTTTTCAAATGTGACACGTGAAACATGTCATGTATTCTGGATAAAGGCAGAGGTAAAGTGATCCTATACGCTACAGGACCTACTTTACTCATAATCTGATACAATCCCATATATTAAGGTATTAGATTCTTGGCCCTTTTAGACTTACCAATACTAGTCAAAGGAGAAACTTGGAGAAACATATGATCTCCCACTTCAAATTCTAACAGCCGACACCATTTATCAACATAACTCTTCTGACAGCTCTAGGTAGTAAAAAGTTTCTACCAGATAACTCTTATCTTCTCAATGGTCTGATCCACAATATTAGGACCAATCATGCTTCTTTCGCTCA